AAACTCAAAATATATATGTAACATGTGTTATTAAAAAACAGAAAAACAGAAAATTAATTGAATAGTGTATTGTTGGCAAAAGAGAAAATCATACAACCAAGAAAACATTCTAAACTATCTTTGTATGATTCGCAGTATGCTCAGTTAACTCAACTAGTTTATCAATTATTACTGAAGATATATTAAGGACTTAAAATCACTGTTCTCAAACTGGCCAAATCACTACAAGAGCCCCTGGCACCATACAAAACCATACTTCAGGGTATATACTAAGTTAGCAGCTCAAGGGAAAAATTAGAAGGAACCAAAATTTCATCATTTTCTATCCTCTTGTCTACAGCATAAACAATTCTTTAGATGCTATGTGAGGCTAAAAGGAGGCTTTAAGCCTTCTCATGATTGGGGGGGTGTTTTATATGTATCTTTAATTTACAAGGGTTTAATTTCTTTTAAAGTTCAACAATGATAATGAAAAATAAATGATATAAGAACAAGACAAATCAACTCTTCTGTGCCAAATAACAGTATTTTCCACCTTAACTCTGTTTGTAAATTTTTAGTAATTCAAAAGAATAGAATGGGAGAGACAGAGAGGGAGGAGGGAGAGAGAGGAGAGGAGAGGTGAGAGAGGAGAGAGAGGAGAGAGAAGGAGAGAGAGGAGAAGAGGAGGAGAGAGAGGAGAGAGAGGAAGGAGAGAGAGAGAGAGAGAGAGAGAGAGAGAGAGAGAGAGAGAGAGAGAGAGAGAGAGAGGAGAGAGAGAGAGAGAGGAGAGAGAGAGAGAGAGAGAAAGGAGAGAGAGAGAGAGAGAGAGACAATAATAATGCTAACAACAACAATAGTAAAACTAATAACAACAGCAACTAACCATTGCTATCAGATCCTTCTTCCCTGCATCCCTTTCCCTTCACCCATCTCATCTCCCTTTTATTTTGGTTAAGATGAATACTGTACAATCTTGGGCAACATAGAAACATATATCATGCTGTCTGTGCAGTCAAATTTTCACTAGTGAATATAATCCCCCCCCTTTTTTTCTTGGAAAAGTATTGGATAGTACACTCTTGTGCTGCTTCTTGCATTTTCAAAATTGTAAAATAAATTAAGAAGTTACAATACAGATAACAACTTCTCAGTCAGTCAGTCCCTTTATCTGTATTACCTGTTCAGACTGCCATCTCTCCTTCAGCCTGAAAAGAGAAAAAAGGCTGTTTGATAAGCATCAAACAACCTTTTCATTAGAACTATCCAAGACTGTTCTTCTTGTTATTAAACCTTCAGCCAGATGTGTCACCACTACACATAATGAAAACAATGAATAAAATGTGTTTTTAACCCCTTTGTTCCGGATGATGTGGCCAACATGACATGAAAATATTTGATTAAAGGGGTGAGTGACGTGAACATGCCATCAATGGAAAATGTGGCTGTGGGCCAGGTGACACAAACTTGCCATGAGCATGTCAGCTAATGGCTGGGGTGATGAAAAAGACTCTCCACAAGTGCTCAAACCTCTTGGAGGGTGATTAGACTCATTTGGCATTTGGAAAGGGGCTATTAAATTATTCCCATTGATAAACGAGTGTGGAATATAGTGTCCGTGCACCATGACTGGAAAAGTGCCAGCTCCAGAGAGAATGCCATTTCCATGCTCAGCATCCTATTCCTAGGCGCTGTAACCAGTGGCGCAGGTTGTCTTACAGAAAATTGATTATGAAAAAAATGACACAAATAACATTCTTTTCTTGAACTAAATTATAAACTACCTACAAGGATGATAAGGAGTCTGTGCAAGGAAAAGTGTCTATCACCACCTGGAAAAGGCAAATCAAATGACAAATATGGACATTGGCAAATGGCAAAAAAGCTAAAAAAAAACTTATCAGGATTCGTACACTTCTTTGGTATCAAAATTCTATGACTTTTCCTGGACTCTCTAGAGGTGTTGGCATTTTTCCATGAATTTTTTCTTTCCTTTGATCCTTTGAAGCATATTCACGATACATATATCCCATTACAACATGTACAATGACTGTAAACCTAATTTGGTGTTGACAAACATCAAAAGTTTCAGCAATGACTTGTTCACTTTATGTGAATAATTGCCTATGATGGATCAGCATGTATCAATTTAGGCTACGTAATTTTTCAAGTTCATTTTTATTTCTTTCTGAATACTCAGAATATAAATTGAGAGAGAGAGAGAAAAAAAAAGTGTCTAACTTATTTTTTTAAAAGAAACCAAATTTCCATGATTTACCAGCCTTGAAAACAAAATTCCATTACATTCCATCCAGGTCTGGAAATGCTAATTTCCATGATTCTGCAGGACCCGTACAAACCCTTCTTTATGCATAGAGAAAACAACATTGTAGGGAATGCAAAGAGTCTTGTCACCACACACAATTGTTCATGTGAGCCTGGCCTACAAGTTGCACACCGCAGAGTGGCCGTTCACATAAGCCAGGCCTATAAGCCACACATCCAGCAGAGCGGTTGTTCACATAAGCCTATATTTTTGTCCATGTGACTGTCTTGAAGCTACCAGATCCAAGGGGTTAATGTATCACATCTTTCTGCTTAAACAAACAAGCAATTCTATGTTAATCCACGCATAATAGTCCAATTCATTGTAAAGTAAGTGTTTCTTAAATTTCCACATGGAAGAAAAAAATATATATAAAAACACTAAATTACATAAAATTTGAATTTAGTATGTGCAGTATGGAATGATATAGCAAAGTTCATTTTACTGAAAAATTTGACACTGTCTACACAGTTCTGACCTCTTCTTTACCTACATTTCCAATTCTCTCTTTATGCCTACCTTCCATAGGGCAAATACAAAAATTAGTTATTCTTTACCACAAGAAAGTCAAGTTGCACTACCTTCATCTTCATTATTACTAAAACAACATGCATATATGACAATATAAAAACAATGTTCTCTAAATAACCATCTTTACATACAAAGGCGGGGAATTTCTGTCCCTACCAAGAGTAACTTCCCCTGACTAGTGCCACAATGGTGAACGGTCACTCCTTGAGTTGTTTTTACTATCTGTTGCATCTTCCGTGATTCATTCTGCAAAAAGAGATGAGGGTAAACACCCTGTACTCTTTGTTACTTACCTTCAGTTCGCTTCCTGACAGTCCATACAGCTGTGGGGTTACCGGGCAACTCTGACACAGCCATCTCACTCACTTCAAGACCATGACGAAGTACACGAAGAGATGACCTTGGGCCCCTACCACAAACAGTATACAACTGTGGTGTATCTTCATTTGCTGTGGATAAATAGCAAAACCAAGTAATACTAGACTTTTTATCTATCTATTATTTTTTTCTTTCTTTCTTTTTTTAAGAACAACAACCAACCAGTTTAACCTTTATCAAATCTCACCTAAATCAGCAATTTGGCATGCCATAATAGGAGAAAGTGAGTCAAGTTCATCAACGAGCACAAGGTTTTGCAACTGTCGTGGTGCATAGAAAAATGTATCTCCTTCTTCAAGTGGCATAGCTGAACTGAACTCTGGTTCATCATCATCATCACCCAAATGAGCAATCTGTGAACAGTCAACATTATGAATCAAGAGAATGGATAGAAAGACTAAGGACAACAATTACAAGTACAACTGATACATGGCATACATACTTTGGTGCAGCAACTATGCCAATAGGTTACAGAACATTGTTCACTGATATTATGACAATCATATAACAGATGTAAATACTGACCTGGTACAAGTAGTGATTTCCAAATTCTGAGGCAACAAAGAGAAACCCAGTCTTGAGGACACACATTGCTGTTGCGGGTGGCACTGTGTCAAAATACTTCAACTTGATCTCTGTCACAACATCTTCATCTGTTTCCAATGTTATCTAGAAAGAAAAAAATCACGTACAAATCAAGAACATGGCTTGGTTACATGAAAATGTAATGCTAAAATAAAATATCCTTCAAAAATCATTGTTCATTCATATTTTATACCTGGTATAAATTTCACTGACACCCACCTTGAAGATGTCTCCTTGCTCCGTCTGAGCCAGGAAGAAGAACATTGACCTGGTCTTGTGAGTGGCTGCGCAAATGAAGATCATTCCTCGCTCTGGATCATCAAGATCATTCTGGAAATATCAATCGAACATTAGATTTTAGATTGGAAATTATCTCGTGTAAATAAGTCTTGAAATGAAAAACTGAATCAATTACTTGTAATAAATCCTGAGCTGTCCTTGACCCTTTCCTTAGCATATCTATACAAAAAGAAAAAATAAATGAAACTCACTCTTCTCCTAGGAATAGGACATCTGATGTCAGGTTGATCTCCCAGATTCTTATAGGTTAAGTAGTTTTCTGAACAAACTAAAACACCAGAAGGTCCGTCATTTCCACCTGAAAAAAATCAAATTAAGAACAAATTTTCAATAAAACAATTAAGTTTTAAGACATCAAAAGGTATATTGTTACTAAAAGATAGTACTTTAAATGTCATAAAAATACTAGCAGAGATTTCAGAGGTCTATTACAGCTATATACCTGGCACTGATATGAGGAAGTTTGCATGTTCTTCAAGGGGCTCATGGTACTTCCGAACCACATGGTTGAGTCCCAGATCCAGTTCATAAAATGTTAGAGTTTGCTGAGTCCTGTGTACAGCCTCTCCTGTAGGGTCAGTGTCTGCTTCCTGTTAACATTATGTAAATCTTATTATATATTTTTTTAGAACAATAAATCATTCAGAGATATCTTATTACAGACAACTCCTATTTACACTTGAAGTGAAGATATATGGCCAATGATGTCAGACTAACCTCATAATCAATCTCCAGACAGGCAAAGAGTGGATTTTCAAAACCAACATCCACTCCTACCATGTGATATACAAGTGTGTTGCTCTTGTGTGCTTCCAATGGAGAGGAGATTGTCAGTCTTGCTGCTGCATCACGGTTGAGAATGTACACTAACTTCTGCTTTTCAACAGCACCTGAAGCATCAAAAATAAAATGTAATGGCAAACCCATTACCTATTAATATTGGACCACTACATTAACCGACTAACGAAAGTACATTTCCAAGCTGAAAATAATATTTTCTGGGTGGCTTCAAAACAGCGCACAGGCAAGTCTGGGAATCTGCCCACCCACCATCCGCCATAGGCAACAAAATCAGAGCGCAAGCTCTGATCTAGCGTTGTACTGGCGAAATGCCCGGTAATATTTATTTTTCCAGGTGTCTCATATGTGTGACGGCCATTGTAAGTGGGTTAACCTCCCCATCAAATCTGCATAGTAGAATCTTGAATTTGTTGGGAGGAATATTAAATAACATGCTTGGATAAAATTAATTTTGTCCAGACTCACGTAAAGACAATCTACACTAGACACATGAAGAAAACTAATTATATGTCAATAATCATATTCACACATATATCATCCAACTTACCAATCATTACTGCCCTGCCCTTTGGATCAATGGCAAGATACTGGCCAGGAACAATGCGTCTGCAACCACTTTTACCAAAATGTCTCCATGTGGATCGCTCAAACTGGTTTTTTAGCCTGACTATATTCTTAGAATGGTGATTTCTGCCAGAGTCAGATCCCACCACAACATAATCTGAAATTATGAGAAGTGGTATGCTTCATATTTCATTATCTGAATTTAATCAAAGCTTTTAATATAAGTAAATAAATGTACTTCAACTACCTTTGATCTCTTACAGCTAATCAAGGATCATCTCACAATCAAATGGTCACCAGACATTCATGGGCTCATGTCTTGGTCTGCCTAAGCACAGCCCTCTTCCCACTGCTTTTCTGAATTAACTAAACTGAATAACCAAGGTTTGGTATTCTTCTTAACTAAGATACAAAAGAAGTGTATGATGATTCAAATCAACATGGTATTTCTAAATAAAAAAAGTTCCAAATAAAGATGTTATTTGAAAGACAAATATTTCTAAATTACATTTTTGATAAAAGACCCAACTTTGAATACTACCTTCCATAAAGCAAAATGAAGAAAGTCAAATGAGTATTTTAGACAGAAATGTATCCCTTAGATTTAACATGTAAATCACCTAATTGATAAACATACCTTTATTTCCACCAGTCAATCTGAATGCCATCAGTGAACGAATAACACCAAATATGTCTGTTGTTAAAATGGTGTGTACCTGTCAAAAATCCAGAAACTATAAGATAAAATTTCTTTGACTAGTTTCAAATCTTTTTATATGACAAGAATATTGAATACACAATATTTAGAAACAGTGCCACATAATCATTAAACAATAATTATCTATATTTGAAACAGACAAAATAGTAATACACAGCAAGTAAATATTTCCATAAACAACAACTTCTCACCTTCCCAGTATTTGGATCAGGTCTCAAAAGTTCCAATGATCTTCCACGAGAAACCACTAATTCCTGTGTGCGTGTTCCAGAAAAATTCCCATGCACGGCATGGGTGATGCCTGATGCACGCTGTAGAGTCAGGTTGTACAAATACATCTTGTATATCAAGATGTGAAAGCTGTACAATCTTCAAATTAAAAGGCTTCAAGCCTTACCTCTGCTAAGGCCTTTTTCACTCTGTAAAAATAAACATGTACAAAAATATGTAATAACAGAAATGTCACTTACACTTTTCCATTTAATATTAAATAATTTCTAAGACCATCACACCTACTTTTCTGATAAAAATATGATATTCTTTGAGAATTACAGGTATACAGCAAATATATAGCAATACTGATCTGTGCAATAACAAATTACAGCTAACAATCTTGAACTGAAATTGAATTTCCAATAGTAGGGAAATTCATGGAATTCATCTGGGAAATTGCAGCAAAAAATAATAGAAAATAGAATGAACTGTAGAACAAAATAAAAAATAAATATAAAAAAATGGCCCATGAAACCCTAAGGGTAAGTTGAAAAAAATTGATGTTTTTCTGCAGGAAACCCAATGATTTCATTTATTCTTGGTGTTGTTTCTTCTGCGAATGAATCGTTCAGGCGTTTGAGTACTTCTCCATCAACGATCTTGATTTGTTAGTCCCATTAGCAGAGGAGGGCATGAAGTATATTTGGGAAATTATGGAATTTCAAAAACTCTGCTGGAATCCACATGTTCCACCCTCAAAAAACATATTGACTAATAAATCAGCCTAATATAACAATTTAAGTTGTTGTGACTAGGTGTGCCTTTCGGGCACCAAATACCTTTATATCTGGAAACGTCAAACTTTCGTGCATTTTTTTCTACCATCAGGAGTGCTTCTGCATTTGGAGCTCTTGATAGGCCCAGATATTAAACTGGGATCATCTATTTTAACTTCTTTGCCACTGCATAGTCATAGGAATAACCCAGAATCAACCCAAACTGGAAACGCAACATTTCTTACCAGCGGTCTACCTTGAAATGAGTGTGCCGGTGAGCTATCAACCTGGTGGCTGGCAAAATGAAGTGAGAAATCAGCAATTTACATGGCCTTAGGGCTCTGAGGCTCTAGCAAAAGCAACAAACTGCATTTGTACTACATGAAAATCACGAGCGTGATGATGTACCGAAGGTAATGTAAACAAATAACGGAGATACAGGGTATTATATTTGATATAAAAACACATGTTGTTGTTTGAAAGGTTTAATAAATGCATTAAATCATAGAAACAACTAGTGTAAACCAGATTAAAACAAAAAAAAAGGGTCATCGAGTGTTTATTATTTTCAAGGATGATCTCATGTATGTGAACACACGCACATAAAGTTAAAAAAATGAATCATCCTTATTTAGTAGGCCTACAACGACTTTCATATCTAAAGGAATAAAATACTTTAGTTTTCCCTCTCAAACTATCTTCTTCCATAATTGTCAATATCAACAGATTGCAAAGGGGTATGAGTGTAGAGTTGGTGATTAGCCATTTGCACCCATTATCTTTACTAAGAAGTACATAAAATCAGGCAGAAGCCTAGGTGTGGTGGGATATTTGCGAATTTATGGTACTTAAGACCTATGGTAACGTCTAAACACAATAGTTTTTATCGGGAACGCACAAAACAGGAGTGATAGCCTTTTCAACTCTAGACAAAGACTGCACACACAAACGAGCTCAAAATTCCATATAGTTTTTATTTCAGAGCAGGTATTACTGAGTACTATCATCTTCTATGTGAAATAATCTGTATCTTGCTTATACATCCAAAGTTTAAAAATCCGACATCTAGGTAACTTTCATATTGAATTCGTCTTTACAACGGTCACTACTAATTTCAAATCAAATCATATTTACCCATGCTGTGATGTACCGACCGTTGAGCGAAATGTAACGGAAATATTTCAATCCTTACTTATAAGGCTATTTTCAAACATTAGTGCTTCGTATATGATAGACATACAGATTACTTCGTAAACTAAAACATATAACCAGTGAGTCTTACTCGAAGTACATTTCATATGTAAAAGGACACAAAACATATATTTTTAGATATATTTCACAAAATACTTCGTCATAAATCACTGACATACATTTTTTCTGATATTGGTATAAAAGTGCTCCTTGAACATTCACAAACTCATATCTATGCACAATGTCATTATCAAATACCATATGCGCGATTGCAACAAGCAAAGGTCCACATTGGTGTACCTGGGCGCTCATTAGTGACGCACCTGCCCAGGTGCTAAGCATGTCTTGTGTCGGCTGCAAGACAACGAGCCATAGTGGGGCTTTAATACTCATTTGGTAGTTTCCTCATCCATGTACCTATACTATACACTAGCTAACTCAATTTGACCCCCTGTACGCCCCCCTCATCTGGGACGGTCCCATTAAACTATGTTCTATCCCACTCTCTTTCCTCCGCTCTACAAGGTGGTGGTGTCCATTTCCCTCTATCTGTCTCTTCAACTTATACCCACCTGGTTTAAAAAAAGTCCATGGGTATCCACCATATCTTACAGTAAAATCCACAGGAATACTCACCACCTAGCCCCTTGCCATGGGACACCACTCCCTGGACCCCATAGCTTATATACAATACATTATTACTATATACTGTATCCCCATGAATGTCAAAGAAAAGATCCAAGGTAATGCCACTTATACCCCCATAGTAATTATATAATACAACCATATATTCCCTGGACCCCTGAGGTTAATGTACAATAATAGCAATAAACCCCATCTTAACTGTTTACCATCCTTGAAATCTGTTCCCCTAGTTAGGCTAATTAGATATATAAACCAGCAGTCATCTATATGACGATATTATTACTGATATTACCAATAAAAACCTATCAAAGTACTCAAGAAACAAGAGTTTAGGTTATTTCAACTATAATCTTGAAGTTTACCATGGAAACTGTAAATGTTGCTCCACTAACAGTTAAATTTCAATTACCCAGGATAAGGTTTCATACATAATTGATATCAATAAACTTTTCTGCTTATCCTGTAAGTAAAACTGCTAAACAATATGAAGACCTTATACATTTATAGAAATATTCCTTCTTTACAATAAAAGACATACTCTGAGCTACTAAATACAATTCCTCCCTAATTTCAATTACTAATCTAATATTTGTTACTATTCATTATCGTTAATTAAGGTTGAGGTTGAACAGACCGACACGCATAGATAGAGCAAAGTGGACACTGCCATCTTATAGAGCGGAAGACATAGGGTGGGATAGGATATGGTATAAGATGCAGAGGCCTTACAGTGACTGCTAAATGACGAAAATATAACACGTGCTTGCCTTTCAAATTCTAAGTCCATCAGCTTGTTTACCTTGCAAGAAAAACACAAGACAGATGAACGCATTTTCTCTTTGTCAAACTACTTTGTGTATTACTATGAGCCTGTCAAAACAATATTTGGCTACGTATCAGTGAATAATGTTACACATTCATGCTCTTAAAGTGTTTTATTAATATCCTTATACTTAATTTAAGTGTTTTAAGATGGATTTATAGCCTTATTTA